TTAATTCAGTAATTTCATTTTTCCATCTCTCCTTGATGTCAGAATCACTAAGCAAAGACTGTTCTGAACCCTAGCAAATACTGAGAACATCATATTTATTTAGGGACTAAAGAAAATAAATAAACAAAGTAAATATAACTTTAAACTGCTTTCAGTAAGATTTTAAGTTAAAAAAGAGCAGAATGTAAAATCATATACAGTTAACATTACAGCTGTATAAACATCCAATAAAAAGACTAAAGAACATGCACCAAAATGCTAAAAGTAGTTGTAACAAAGTTTCCCTCAAATTAAAAATGATTTATAATAGATATCAGCAGAGTGCATTTGGAAGATATTGAGTAGAAAGGGGTACATGGAATGCTGGGAGTATTCTAGATCCTGATGGCAGTTACACTATGTATATATATTTTGTTTGTATGTATAATACAATTAATATAATATGTAATGGTGCGAATAAGATCCGTGCATCTTGTTGTACAGATTTTATACCTCAATACATTTTTGTTCATGTGCTCTGTGGTTTTCATAGTCCAAATTACAATAATAATAAAAAAAGACACTGGGGAGAAGTGCGCAGGTAGTAAAGACGTTTATGTAGGGAAGAGAGAGGCAGAAGCAGGACTACTGTGAAGGAGAAGGAAGAAAGGAGGGAAAGAAGGAGGGACAAGGACATGCCATGTTCCTGTGTCTCCTTACTGGTTCTGGGAGTTAGAAGACTCTCCGCCTCCTCTCTTTCTCTTCCTTTGTTTTTCTTTTTCTTTCTTTTATTAAAATTAAAGAGCATCCTGGTACTCAGAGAAGCAAAAGGTCTTGTTCAGACTTGCAGCTGATGGGTGGCTTAGTGCCCTGAACCAGCACCTTCCATCTGCCCAGGTGTTGTCTAAGTTGCCCCTGCTCTGCTGTCCCAAAAGAGACCAAGCTGGGACTGACCCTCTCTGGAATGCTTGAAGGTCTTACCTAAGGCTGTATGTGCCACCAAGCAGAGGGCGAGACTCCAGATCAGAATACATCTCATGTTGTGGTTAGCTTCTGCCACAGGCTGGGGTGATGTCAGTGTGCTGATGATAGCTGTGACTGCCCCTTTTATCTTCCCCCCATCCCTATCAGCAGGTTATGCTTCTGACCAGCCCACACTCTTGTCTTTGGCTTCTGACAGGTCATGATTGATGCAACCCCTGCCCACTTTCCGTGTATGTGAACAATGGCTCAAAGCTAGGCAGGTGGGTGTGAATCAAGCTCTGAGGATACAGTAGATGCCAAGAACACAGCTGCACTCTGGGTCACTTGGCCCCTTAGCTCCCAGGTTTCCTCCCTGTGGATCTAGGGGCCTTGGGCCATCTTACTCCCCTCTGCTTTGCTCAGACCCTCTACAGACTTTTCTTCTATTTCAGCTCTCAACCAGGATCACTGTGAAGAAGGTCAGTGTTCAGGATAAGACATCAGACTAGTGGTGAGGCTCATGGGTTTCCAGTCTCACTTGGGAAGCCCACCTGGAAGCAACTGTGACAGGTCTGGTGCGGCACCTAGTGAGCCCGAGGCCAGGTGATGAGACGTTTCTCTTTACTAATCCTCAAGCTAAAGGAGGAGGAGGAGGCAACCAGGCAAAGATCCTGCCTGAAATTTGGAGCCTCAGGAGCATGGGGATGCAGGGAAAGCAAATTAAAGAAAATCTGAATTATGGACATGGTTCTCAGGCCATTTTTTTTTTTTAGAAAATCCTTGTATGCTGATTTGGGTTGGAGATTTCAGGTTCACTGTGTCCTGGGGCCTAGGATGGCATATTGTGTTCCCTCCCTTGTTAAACTCTTGCTGTTGGCAAGGTAGATGTCATCATCTGATGGCAGTCATGCAGATATCTCCTAAGATCGTTGCCTACAGTCTTTGCCCAAGAAATTTGTCTGAGCGATTGTCCAAAACAAGAAATTGTTTACGCAATAAGTGCCTAATGCTTTGTTTTGCTTCACTCTAAAACACCTGGAGGGAATGGAGGAAGAAGAGATGTTAGAGCTACAGGATGTAATAATTTGGAGTGGGTAGTGCTTCTGCGGCAGCAGCTGCTTCGTGTGGTGGTTTGGAGCCAGGCACCCTAAATCTGAATCTAGCACTGTTCTGCGCTAGCTGTGAGAGCCTGGGCAGATCGATTGATTTTACCAATCTCTGTTTTATCACTGGCAAAATAAGCAGAAGAACAGAGCAAATCTCTTACGATTGTGGTGAGAGTTAAGTGAGATAATGAAAGTAGAACAGGCTGGGCATAATGGCACATCTATAATCTCAGCACTCTGGGAGGCTGAGGCAGGATGATTGCCAAAGTTGAGTCTGGCCTAGGCAATTTACTGATTTAGCAAGGCCCTATCTCATAAAAAGGGTGGGAAGGAGGTTGGGGATATAGGTCAGTGCTAGGATCAATTCCAAGTACCATGGGGTAGGGGAAAAATAAAAGGAAGAAAAAGAAAAACAAAGGAAGAGAAAGTAAAGCACTCCAGAAGGACCCCACCATACCAAAATCGAGAATTCTCAAGACTCTTACGTAAAATGGTATAATTCTGCACCTAACCTGCACATATCCTCCAATATACTTTTATTTATTTATCTTCCACTATGCTTTAACTCATCCCTACAGTACTTATAATTTCTAGTACATGTAAATAGTGGCTAGGCTGTGTTGTTCCAGGAATAACAAGTAAAAAGTATGTGTGTAGCACAGATGGTTTGTTTGTGCAGTCAAGGGTCTTGATAAATCCCTAAGGTACTCAGACTGGGTTTGAACTTTTAATCTCCCAGTTTTAATGTTGGGTTTATAGGCATGGCATGCGCTACTACACCCAGCTCATATTTTCTTTCATGAACATTGGTAGAGGACTATAGTCAGTGTGGGATTTTTCGGGGATGGAGTTGAGACAGGGTCTAGCTGTGTAGTTCAGGCTGAACTGCCAGTGACCTTTCTGTCTCAGTCTCCTGAGTGTTGAGATTACAAGCATGGTCCACAACACTTGGCTTTCAGTGTGGAATTTTTTTTGAGACAGGGTCTTGCTATGTAGTCTAGGTTGGACTTAAAGCCCAGGCCAGCCTTGAACTTAGGGCAATCCTCCTGCTTCAGCCTCCCAAGTACTGGGATTACAGGCATGTGCCACCATGCCCATCTCAGTGTGGGATTTAAAGAGCAGGGTCTACCAGCACATCTATATCCCTGTGTTGAGCACTTTTCTATCTTCACTGTCTCCTGCTGAACTCCCTGGTGGGTTGTGACCACATCACTAGGAGTATGGGATTCAGGCTGTAGGAGACAGAGTGTCTTTCTCCTGGCCCCCAGGCTTCTGACCAAGTTAGCACCAAACACCCTGGAGTATATCTAAAAGCGCAGGCCCAGTAGGGAAAGGGAGTGGAGAAGGCAGATAACATGAGCCACCCTCCAGTCCTGGGTGTCAGCTACACAAAGTCTCCCCTACCCAGATGTGCCATTCCTTGGCCAGTTCTGTGTGGGCCTTATAGGTCAGTCTTGCCAACAGGTGGCCCCCGCTTTTGCCACCTCTCCCATCTCCTTTAGAGAAGTAAAACCTTTCATCTGGCCCATATTTTAAGCAATTGTGCCTGGGCGGACACCTCAATGGGGTGTCCAGGTCACATGTGGCCCCATCCAATGTGCACACGGGCCCAGGGTACATTGAATAGGCAACAGGTCAGCCAGGTGTGCTGGTGCATTATCATCTTAGGAATCAGAAGCAGCTGTTAGGAAGCCAGAATGTTTTATTTTCCCTACGTATCTTGCTAGCATTTTCTTGAAAATATCTATAAGTTTCTTGGCTGCACAAAGGGAACACAGGTAGCAATGTGAAATGGATTTTGAGCTCTGACAGATGTGGACTCTAAACTGACTTAGTTGCTTGTCATGTATGTATTACCACAGGTGATGAGGTCCTGGACAGGTTCCTAGGTTCTTGTGTGCTATCAACAAAGAATTGGATGGGCCTCATGATGGTAAAGAAAAGCAGCAAAGTTTAATTAGGCAAGTTTAATGCTTAGAGTGACGGGGTCACGCCAGTGAGAACGAAAATGGCATGAGTGCTGAAGGTTGAGGGATTAAAAATGTTGTGCCGGATGTATGGTGCCTCTCCTGGAGCTTCCAGAATGTGGCTGACAATGCAATCGGCAGTGCTAAGTAGTGTTACCTGTGTCTGTTGCATGTATCCTTTCTCATAAGTCACTCTGTAATAACTGGATATGAGATGCAGTACATTTGAAAGAATCTTCAAAAACTGTGAAGAAAGATTATAGTCAGTCATGTTGGAGTAGCTGGCGTACTTGCCTCCTGGTTTTGAATTTTGTAATTTTCCAGGGCAGGCTCAGGGGTCTTTCTTTTCTTGTCTCTGCCTCTATCTAGGTAGTAAGGCTTAGGACAAAGATCTGGAAGTTGGCATTACCCAGTTTCAAGTAAAAGGAGGGGAGTGGCCCCATAGTCCCAATTGTACCATCTATATTAACAATATAAATTTTTTTTCTTAAAACTGATTTAAAAGGCAATTCTACAAAGTATAATAACATGTTTATAATGTGTTATTGGCCTGGTAATGGATAGGAATTTTGTCACATATTTGCCAGTGACAGAACAAAGGAAATGGGTAGAAGAGCAGCTGTTTTGCCCATGCTGTTTCCTCTGTGTCAGGGGTGGTGAGGTTCTGCAGCTAGGAAGGGACAGAAGAGCCTATCCACTAGGGCTGGGAGATTGCACTCCCAGACCTAAGTGCCAGGGCCCTAGCTGGTGAAGGCCATGTGAGTGTGGGCCTATGGGATTCTGTTCTGTCCAGATATTGCCAGATCCTGATCTTGGTGTAGATGACAGAGTGGAGTCAGTTTGACACACACTTTCTTTTGTAAGGGACAAAGATTCAGACAGTGTGCGCCTAGGGTGAATTGTGATGTAATGGAGACACACTCAGGGATATGGGACCCAAAGAAGACAGAAAAGGCTTCCTGGGGGCTTGATCAGCGACCCGGGCCTTGACAAGAAGGAAGGGAGCAGAGCACTTCAGAGAGAAGTACAAAGGCCCAGAGGTGGGAAGAAGCTTGGTGACATTTCAGAAAAGCATCATGCCATTCTGCAGTGGCTGATGCTTGAAGGGACACAAGCCCATGTCAGTCTAGTTTAGGTTAAGCCTTACAGCAAGAGTAGGAGGCCACCTGGCTGGGACACTGCCATCTTTTGGATTGGCCCCAGTCAAGGAGACACAAGACTTGTCTCAGAGCTCCTCTGGGATCTTCCTGCCTTGCTTCTGTTGTTGCCACTGTTGGATCTTGCTGGGGAGTGTTTCTGTCCAGAACTGCATCTGGGCTTCCTTCAGCTTCTGCCTGATGCGTGGCACTAGGCTGATCTCCAAGTATTGCTCCAGCTGGTTGAATTGGGGCCAAAGAGGAAGTCCCTCGCCATTGGGGTCCCTGGGTAGAAAGAATGAATGAGGACCAAGGACTCTTGTACTGTCTTCTTGGAGGCAGATGTGAGTAGTACCAGGCCCAAACAGAGCATGCTTATTTACTTACTCATCCTGTTCGGGCAAACTGGGCCCACTGGGCCATCATGGTGAGGCTCAGCTGCTTCTCCTCCTCTGTGGCTTCTGGAAAGGCTGGTGGGAGTGACAGATCTAGATTAGAGTCAAGTGGGGCCTGGAGGGGGATCCTAGGTCCTCTGGGGCTGACTGGATAGAGATTTCTGTTCCTACAAGTCCAGTATGGCCCTTTGGAGCACAGAAACCTTGGGATTGCATTTCTGGCCACCTGTCCTTACCCAGGAGGGTGCTTTTGTCCATGAGGAAAGGACCCCCGAATACGAATGCTCTCTCAGCTGCATGGTCAGCCTTCACCCAGTGTGGTTTGATCTTTGCAAAAGAACTGGGTACATGCTGGAACTCATAGAAAAAAATAGGGACCTCAGAATCTGCAGAGAGAAGACACAATTAGAGTCAGGAATTGACAGCCTGATCCGGTCCTGAAGCCTTGGCAACACCAGCACATGATGACATCAATCTTAATTCCAATAACAATGAAGGCACAATTATGAGCAGCAAGCATTTTTGAGCTCTTGCTAAGTATTGAGCAACCTCTGGATGCCAAATGTGTGGCCCTTTATTCAGTCCTCATAAGAAACTTTGAATTAGATTCTATTATTATTTCTGCCTGACGTGTCAGAAGATACTGGTGGAATCTGTACCTGTCAACACTTGTTGCCCAGTTCCTGGACTCAAGTGGGGGTAGGTAGGGCAGGTGGCCAGGGAAAGATTTACCTTGGAGGTTTCTTGAGAAATTCAAAATAGGGATGTTGAAGAAGATATCACCAGGCCAGTTCCTGGAAGGCTTCACGTCTGGCTTGTGCATCCGAGGCACTGCTTAGATACTGGTCTAAGACCAAGGACATCATCTCAGGGGGCACATTCTAGGACAAGAAGTCATGGTTAGGTCTGTTTAGGGCCCTCCCAAGAAGCTTCCTTTATATCTTGGGGCTCAGCCACCTGCCTTCTTCCCTGGCAGTTCTAGATGGTATCTGGGAAGAATAAGCTCAAGTGTGATGTCAAATTCTAGTTTGGTGGCCACTCCTTGACACTAACCTCAGAAAGGTGGCTCATCCTCTCTGAATGTCAGTTTCTGCCTGGCAGTGTTGTTTGACAGCCGATAGGAAGTCCCTAGCACAAAGTCTGTCCTGGAAACAGGTGCTCAGTGGAAGTTAACTTGGAAATAAGTGAGAGAATAAATGACAAGGGCTCCCCACAGCTCCGAAGAGCAGTTCTGAGGTTGTGTGAATGGGGAGGCTCTGTGGCTTCCGAGAAAGAGAAACACGTAGATTGACTACCTCTGGGGTTACTGCACTGTTCCCTTTTTGAGGCAGGATCTCACCAGCCTCAAAATTCAGTAGCTCATTTGGAGAACATGTGTTTAGGAGGCTAATCCAGTTATATTAAGATGATTGTGAAGGTAATCCTTATGTACTCCAGGCTGGCCTACAACTTGTGATTCTCCTGCCCCAGCCTTCTGAGTGCTGGGATTGCATGCATGCATGCATGACAATAGTTGGCACCTGGTAGACTTTTCAAATGCAGTGTCCTTCTTACAGGTACTCAGGTGAGTGGAAAGTATCATTCTCATTTATAGGAATGGATTCAGCCATGTGGCCAAAGCTGGGATTTGACACTAGCACCATCTGGTTTCATATCTGACAGTGTGATTGTAATAGCTCTGGGGTCAGGCAGAGCTGGCTCAAACTCTGCCCCTGACTCCCCTTATTCATCAGGAGGTCTGAGCCTTGGTTTCCCCATTTGTAGAATGGGGGTAATGAAAGATCCTATTTCACAGAGCCGCAGTAAGGACTGAAGCTGACGAATGCCTGTTGTAATGTTCTGCTCAGCTCAGCTCAGTCCCTGGAACATAGGTCATGCTCAGAAAGGGGCAGTTTCCATGGTGACAATGATGCTAGCAGCAGTGATTTTTCCTTTGAGAATTACATTAACTCCATGTAGATTCGTGGATGGAGCTAAAACTCAGTAGCTGGACGAAGGTGCTTGGTCATAGTAGGCAGCTGTGTGCACTGGAAGGTAGAAGCAGAGACCCCTGGATTAGATGCCCCCAACCTCTTCCCTCTGCCTTTTGCCTTACCATACTGGTCAAAGGAGGCTTCAAGGTGTCCAGCATGTGCTCCCGGTTCATCTGCTCCATCTTATCCAGCAGATCAGAGCCCTTTGGGGGCACCAACATATGTTCAGTTCAACTGACTGTTGCCCCAGATATACTGCCGGTTCCGGGCTGGAAAAACATTCAGAGTTCTGATTGGAAACTCATTACGGAGCCACATAAACCTATTAGTCCTTAGACCCCAGAAGAGAAACCTCAATTTGGCAAAGGATGTGGTGGCTGGGAACAGTAGCACTGCATATAACAGGCAACAGCTGATGGCAGGACCATGGAAAATGAGAGAATTTACTCAACGTTTTTGCAGAATAACATCAAGAATAGCCTACAGAAACTGCAGCCTTTCCAGAGGGAAAACCAGAAGCAGCTCCTGAGATCTGTGCCATGTTGGAACTTAGGACCCTGGGAAGCCGAGCAAGCACCTCCCCTCCCTGGTAATCGGTGGCAGTGTGGCAGACTGCGGCCCTCCAGGGGGAGAACCAGCAGCAGCTCCTGAGATCCACACCATGTTGGAACTTAGGACGCTGTGAAACCAAACAACCAGCCTGCCTCCCTGGTAAGCAATAGTGAACCTACTGATACGTGGCCTAGAGTCAAATATCCCACTTCCCCTACCCTCCCCCCTCCACCGCCCATTAGCAAATGGGAACCAGAAATCTGAGCGTCTCCTGGGAGGTTGACCATAGCAAATAAAGGGGACTTCCTTCAACCATCTCTTTGAAGGCAAATATTTTTATTACTGTTTTGCTCTTTTCTGATTAATGGTACTGCTCTATTCAATATTCTGTTTTGATAAGTTCTATAGTGTTCTATATTTCATCTCAATCTGATATACGTGATTGAAAGAACAACTATTATAAAGATAACAAAATATACTGTGATACCTATTACTGTTATCCCGGTAACCTGCTGTGAAGTTCTGTACCAATTTCACTGTATGATCTTAATTGGCTTTATTTTGTCTTGTTCTGTTGTATACTTTCAAAATAAAATTAAAAAAAAAAAAAAAAAAAAGAATAGCCCTACAGGGTCATTGCAGAAGCCACAGAAAAAGTTAAAAAGGCTAAATGTTGGCTTTTACATGCTACAGTGTTAGGAGCCCTGGTCTTGAAAAGCCTTGACTTCCTGAGCTCAAATCCCAGCTCTGCTACTTACTAGGTACATGACCTGGTAAACTCTCTGTGTCTCAGTTTCTTAACCTGTCAAAGAGGAAGGGCAATGACCTGTCTCGTAGGAATGTTGTAAGGACTGAGTTAATGTGTATAAAAGGCCTGGAAGGCCTTACGAGGTGACTGGGTGCTTAAGGCAATGGGCAATTAAAAGGCTTGCCATAGCATTATGGACAGCCAAGCTGTTTATTAAAGTTCATTTCAATCACCCTTAACTCTTTATTAATCTGTGAGAACAGGAGCAGAAAATTCACAGATAAATAAAGAGTGTCCTAACTCCCAGTGTTATGGTTTATGTCTACATAACTTCCCCACCAAGCCTAACACTTTCATAGGTAGGGCTTTAAGGAAATGATTAGATCAGGGGGTGGGTTATTTATCAGTGTGAATTAGCCTATTGGTCAGTTCATAGCTGATGTTGAGAGGTGAAGCCTGGTTGGAGGAAGTGAGTCACTGGGGCGTGGCCTAGCACCCCCTGTCTCCTTCTTTCTTCTCTTGATCTCTCTGTTCTTCCTGTTGCCATGCCATGAGCTGTTTATTCTCCACTATGCTAGTTGAAACCTTTACCAACTGTAATCTGAAATAAAACTTTCCTCCTTTGTGTTGTGGGTGTTGGATATTGTGTCTTAGTGATGAGAAAGTAACTGGGATACCCAATACATGTACCTCAGAAAGTGAGCTTATTTTGAGAACATATCTTTAGGAAGCTAATCCAGTTACATTAAGATGCCTATGAAGGTAATCATTAATGGTGGGATCTCGTCCAGTATGATTTGTGTCCCTATAAGGGCAAAATAGAGACAGGGGAAAGACAATGCAAAGATTTTGTGAAGGGAGAAATTCTGCAAGCCAAGGAATACCTGAAGCTACCAGAAGCCAGGAGAGAGGTTGATTGTCCCTCACAGCACTCAGAAAAATCCAACCTTGCTAGTAGTTTGGTTTTAGATTTTTTTTTTTGTCTTTTTCTTTTTTATTGGTACCGGGGATCGAACTCACGACTGCCTGCTTGCAAGGTAGGTGCTTATGCCGCTGAGCTAAATCCCCAGCCCCTGGTTTCAGATTTCTAGCCACCCTGTGAAATGATAGCTTTCATTCACTCATTCATTAAAAATGAGACAGAATCTTAACATGTAGTTCAGTCTAGCCTTGAATTCACTGTAGCCCAAGCTGTCCTCAAACTTGTGGCAATTCTCCTGCCTCAGCCTCCCAAGTTCTGAGATTATAGGTGTGCACCACCATACCTGACAGAGATGACAGTTTTCTGTTGTTTGAAACCCCAGATAGTACTTTGTTATGCTAACCCTATCAAACTCATATAATAATTCTGTAAAAGGAAAAAGATGGAGAATGTCCACTTCCTCATTTGAAAACTTACTTCAAAACCATAGCAATTGACATAGTATGGTAGTGGCATAAGGACAGACACAGAAATTATTGAGAAAAATTTGAGAGCCTTGAGCTGGGAGTGATGGTGCTTGCCTACAATTCCAGAACTCAGGAGGCTGAGGCATGAAGAACATTGGCAAGCTTGTGACCAGCCTGGCCTACCAATGTGAGCTCAAGGCCAGCCTGAACTACATAGTGAGACCCTGTCTCAAAAAAAAAAAATTGAGAGCCCAAACATTATGCTTTTACCTTTACAGTCAGCTGATCTTCCATAAAGGTACCATGAAGGCAATTCATAAGAAAGAAATGTTTTAAAAAACGTGGTGTTTTTTTAAAAACAACTAGATAATCATATGCAAAAGAACCTCTAACACCATATATAAAAATTAACTTCAGATCTTCTCATGTTAGTGTATACCTGTACTACTATCATTTCAGATAGCTATAATAAAAGGATTGCAAGTTCCTAGGCTTGGAAATGTGGTGACTTAACAAGACCTTGTGCCAAAATATGAAATAAAAAATGGGATTGAGAAGTAGCTCAGTGCAAAGACCTTGGGTTCAATCCTCAGTGTTTGGGAAAAAAAAACCCCAACCTTCCAATGAATCATAGACCTAAAGGTAAAGAGCTAAAATTATAAAATTCTTAGAAGAAAATATAGGACTAAATCTTTGTCATTTTGGATTAGGCAAAGCAAAAGCAACAGAAGAAAAAAATAAATGCACTTAATAAGGATGAAAAATTTTTGTTGCAATGAACAATACTGAGAAAGTGAAAAAGCAACCCGCAAAATGGAAGAAAGTATTTTCAAATCCTATATATGTGATAAGAAACTTGTATGCAGAATATGTAACTTGGCTGGGCAAGGTGGCCCATGCCGGTTATCCCAGCACTCTGTGTTCTCCAAGTGTTCATGTGTAGGGAGATTGGTTCACCTACGTGGCAGTATAGGGATATGGGGTGTGATTTGCTCTTAAGAGTGGGGACTAGTGGGAAGTGTTTAGTCATTGGGAGATTAATATAGTACTCCCAGGATTCCTCCTTAGTCCTCCTGAGAGCCAATTTTGTTATAAAATCTTCCTGCCTGGAGATCTCTTTCTGTCTCTTGTCTCTCTGTCTCTGTCTCTCTCTCCATGTCTTTCTCTGTCTCTACCTCTCTTTCCATGTCTTTCTCTGTCTGTCTCTGTCTCTTTCTGTCTGTCTGTTTCTCTCTCTCAACATGTTTCTGCCATTGTGATTCAACCTTCCATCTAGTGATAGAATGAGACTGGGGAATGCAGAGTGGGAGGGCATCACAAGAATCATTAGAAGGTTATTTGTACTAGAGCCTCCAAAATTATGAGCTAAAGAAACTTTTTTCTTTACAAATTACCCTGACTCATGTATTTCTTCATAGTAATGGAAAACTAATATGTGCGCAAAAACGTACACAGGACTGTTATTAGGAGAGTAACCATAATGGCCAAAAAGGTGGAAACAATCTGTTATGGCTTATATCTAGATGTCCCTCCAAAGTCTATGTACTCATAGAGGTTTTGGAAGGTGGCTGGATCATCAGTATGTGATACTGATCTAAGGTATATGAATATGAATTATGGTTGTGCCATAACTGGATCAGTCTACTGACTGGGTTAGCAAAATTCTGTGTGTGGTTGAAAGAATTTACTGAAGACAGAAGCCCACACTGGGTATGGATGGCACTAAGCAATATGTTTTTATCCTGAATGGAATAAAAAGGGAAGGAAGGCTTGCTGCTTGCCTGCTTCTTTCTGCCTGCCACACCATGAACTATTTCTCCTCTGCCATGCCACTCTGCCTTGGAGTCACCTGACTATGAACCGAAACTCTTACAAACTGAGCTAAAATAAACTTTTTTTCTTTTAACTCGTGTCACGTATTTTGTCCCAGCAAAGCAAAAAGTAACTTAGACACAATTCCAATGTGTATCAACTGATGATTGTGCAAATGGAATGTGGTGTATCTATCTGCACAATTGATGCCCTGGCCATGAAAAGGAATGAAGGCCTGATACACGTACAGCGGAGTTAACCTTGAAAACATCATGAAATAAATCAAACCCCAGAAGACATTTAGTTTACATTTCCCTTTTGATGAAATGTCCTATTTAGGTACATAAATAGGTTTGACAGAAATAGATTAGAGACAAACAGATTAGTGGCTGCTAGGGACAGTGGGAGGGGATTAGAGAGTGACTGCTAGTGGGATCTGCACTGTTTTCTAGAGTGATGCAAATGTTCTGGAATAAAATACTGACAAAGGTTGCACAACTTTGTGAATACTCAAACCCACTAAAGGCAATGCTTGCAGAGGTGTGTTTTATGGTGCATATGTTATGTTCTAATAAAGCTGATTTTGGGGGAGGGTATTTTTTTTTTTTGAGATGCGGTCTTGTTATGTGGTCCAGGCTGACTTTGAACTCACTACGCAGCCCGGGATGGCCTCAAATCTTGGCTATTCTCCTTCCTCAGCTTCCTGGGAGATGGGATTACAGGTGTGCACACTGTACTTGGTTAGAGCAGATATTTAAAGAATGATGGTCAGTAAAAACTGTTAAGGTTGCAACTCAGCCTGGAGGCTGAGTTGAATTTAGAAGGTGCTATGGCAATGTGTGAGAAGTGTGTATGGAATATTTTCACAAAGGGTATCATTCTTTCTTTTTCATGGTTTAACATTGATCTGACTGAAAAATGTTCATTTGTGCTCATATGGATACCAAGAAGAGTCAGGAAACCCTTGTCCTAGTGATGCGGTGAGCAACCCTCAGGTCTCAGATTTCTGAGAACCATCCTTCCTACTAGGTCTTTGCAGCTGATCTTGGCAACCAGCTATATCAGCTGTCTAAGTTGATGAGGTGAACAGGGGTAAAGCTGCCTGTCAGAAAGTGTGACATTAGCCTAGAAATTACAAAGCTTTATCCTTGAAAGTTAAGGTTGCATGAGCCTCTCCTATGGTAAGCAAATACCTCTCTGGGAATTGCTTCCAAAGGAATAAGTCAGGGTACAAAGACTAGATATTCCCTGTTCTATTAGCTGCAGTGGCAAAAATCAGCACCTGTTCAAAACCCAAAGTGAAACCTTTGTGTGGGATTTGTAGGTATTAAAAGCAATTGCTGGATGGGGAAGTAGATTAATGGTAGAACACTTGCCTGGCATGCACAAGGCCCTGAGTTCCATTTCCAGCATTGAAAATATTTTAAAAAGTAATTGCTAAGAGCATGAGTAGACAAGTGACAATGATACAAGATGTTTAGAGGGAAAGAATGATACTGACACTGTTGTGGGGAATTCTGTACCATTGGAATGGACTGGAAGGTGACTGGCCTGTGAGGTCCCCAGTGACTTAATGCTATCTGAACCCTGAGTCTCAGCAAGTCAGCATCAAGATCAGAATCACCCTAACCAGTCTCACAGAGTCTGATGTGTAAACCAGATACCAGCAGAAATCTGCTGAGGTTTAATGCTTCTCAGAAGAACTCTTGGTGCAAAATGCTATCCCTGAAAGGGAAAATGAAGCTGGATGATCTTTAGCTGGGAGACTCTCAAACTTCTAGGGGCTTCATGTTTCTCACCTACGAAATGAGAAAACAGGAGCACTCATCACACGGCAGTGGTAACGATGGTCAGGGCCTTGAAGGGCAGCGATGCTGAAGGACACTCACCTTGGGGATGAGCCATCCAGACTCGTGATTGTTGATACCTATGAGCAAGGGCACAGGGTGGAACTGTCTTTCCTTCAGGAGCTCCTCAGGGCTTTTGGGAAAGAAAGAGCCATCGATGGTATAGGTAGGGCTTATCATTTTCTGCAGGAGAAAATAAAACAGGGCACCCATCCCCACCTCAGTGCCTCTGTCAGGACCATGCCTCAAAGGATGAGGCCATAGGGGTCACCTAGCTGAGTGGCTGAGCCTTCAGGGAAAATGAGAGGATGGAGATAACAAGTTAGGGACCCAGAGGGATACAGGAGACCCAAACAAGTGCTGCTTCCAAGCAGATCCAGTGTCCAGAAGACAGGGCCAAACCTAGGGGCCAGGGGCAGCCCTCAGCCCCTTCCTCTTGTGGATGATTCCCCCAAACCCATCTAGGATTGGTGATTTCTGTCTCTGAGGTTGCTGGACAGAAGGCCCTCTGGGTTTCTGCCTGCCACTATCCCCAAAGAGGTGGCATACCAATTCTTTGGTAAGGATCAGTTCTTCTGCTTCCTTCTGTCGAAAGCACTGTACCAACTCAGCTGGCGAGTGGGAGCTGCAGCCCAAAGAGTCTGCAAGCCTCTGGGGATAGACAGAAATGTCTCACCGCTTCTCAGCCTCCTACCCTACCCTCCCATGGAAAGGGGGTGCATCTGTAGGACTGGGCTGTGATGTCACAAATGCAAGCCAAGGATCTGCTGCCACCTATGGGAGACCTTCCTTATCCTCTGTACCTCAGTGACACCAAATTGTGACTGCCCTCTGAGAACAAGCTTCCTTCCTTTCTTTTTTTTTTCTTTTTCTACTCCAGTCTGTGTAAGGGCAGGCCTAGCAGGGCAGTGAACCTGGGCTGGTTCTCAAGTGGTTTCCAGAGTTTGTTGCTCTTTGCCTCAATACCCTGCTAGAACATTGGCTTCCTTTCAGAGCTAACACCCATTGACCAAAGGGCCAACTTCAGTGTATAATTCTGGCTTTATTTGGGGCCCTCCTCTGAGATGAACTTTGGGGAGTAATAATGTTTTTCTTTTTATTTTATAGTACTAGGGATTGAACCCAGGGCCTTCATATTGGGCTAAACATTGAACCCTTTCTTTCATTTTTTAGTTTGAGGCACAATGTTGCCAATTTATTAAATTGCCCAGAATTAGTTTGAATTTATAGTCCTTCTGTCTCAGCCTCCCAGAGTGCTGGGATTACAGGTGCCTGCTATTATGCCCAACTTGCATCTTCCTCTATTCCAGATAGCAGTGGCGCAGGGCTTTCTTCCATTTAGGCTCTGGACCTTCACTCTAGCTTCTCAGGTTTTAGTTGGAAGTCAGCCTTCTGCCAGGTCAGCTGTGTCACCTGAAGAAGCCAAGGATCCCAAGACGGTACTGAATTGTGACCACTACCACATCATCATAGGCAGCCAGGGCTGATCCATCCTGGGAGGTGGCGGAACCTATTACCAATACACCTCCATGGATCCACACCATGACCTGCAGAGACAGCCATGGGACAGTGACTTCCAGTCCCCAGGGCCCCAGCTGCTCATCTATCAGCCCAGGGCATTTTCAGGACCCTTGGAATGGTTTGGGGACAGGAATGGGAAGGGAGAGAAGTGCAGGATGGAGCTTAATGGATGAACAGGTCCCTCTGGGCTGCATACTGGCTTCCTGGCCTTTGTAGTGGCCTTAGCTGGGCTGTAGATGTTGAGGATCAGGCAGTCCTCAGAAATAGGGAAGAGCTTTTGTTTTCCATTAAGTGAGAATCTGCTGTTGTTCATTTTCTCTATGTCCTGCATGCACCTGCAGTCAAGAAGGAACCGAGGGATAGCTGGTCAGCCCCACCTATGCTAGCAGCTAGACCACCTGACCCCAGACCAGCTGCTTGCCTATCTCCATTCAGGCTACTCACATTGGGGGGTCAGTGCTGGCATCCTGCACACTTTCAGGGCTGTGCTGGCAGTGGGGCAGAGAACCTGAGAGGCCCCAGTGGTGGCTGCGCAAACGAGATACCCAGGAAGACATTCACAAGGCGGTCTGTACCCTTCACGCCCACCTGTCGGCCTTGCACCAAGCGCAAGAGGGTGTCCACTTCAGGCCGAGTGGATTGGGGCTCTGAGGGCAGGACAGAGGACCATAAGGTGAGCTTTTGGCCTCTATGAGGGGAAAGGTGGGAGACAGACTCTCAAGATGAAGGAAACATTTGCTTTCCAAGTGTCTATCCTGTCAGGCTCTTTTTTTTTTTTTAAAAAATTTATTTAAAAGGAAAAAGAGAAAAACACAAAGCAAAACAAAGCGGTGTAAGGGTACACGTAATACAGAACTACAAAAAAAAAAAACAGTAAGAAATCACCTGTTAATAGATTACATATTATCATCTTAGAAATAGTTGCTCAAATCACAGTATCAAAGAATACAAAGTGGACATTCAAACAGAGAGACTGCAAACAGCTGTGTTCAATGATCCAAAAACATTAATATAGTCATCTATTTAACACCCCTAAACACACTTGCTGTTATATCCATTAGAGCTCTTTTTTCCCCCTCTCTTTTTTACAACAAAATTTACACATTTTGGATTTTATTACTCCTTAGTTCTTATTACTTTTTTTGGGGGGAGAGAATAAAGTCAAATATGGCAAAACAAAGCTGTCAGTCAAAACCAAGGATAGACATAGCACATGATGTAAAACAGAGTACAAGGTTATCAACAATGGTTATCAATGATGTTTCTTGTTTCCTTAAAAAGAATTGTCTATCTCATTAGATATTATAAAGTTGGACAAAACAGTAGAGAACAAGACCAATAAAACTTAGGCATTGTAAACATTACAGGACTTCCAAAGGAGACAATAGTCAAACCAGAATGGGCATCTTAGTGAATCTTATTGCCTTCAAAGTAGTTGCCTATACCCTCAAACTTGATGCTATCATACAGAATGGAACAGAGTCTAATCAGTCAAAACAAGATCGTGGAAGTATTACAGGACTTCAAAACAAGTTAATAGGAAATCAAAAAGAGTTACTATTATATATCCTGCTAACTTTTTAAATTTTTCCCCTTAATTAAAACAAACATAAGAAATAACTAAATAATTTTTTTAAAGAATAAGGGAGAGATTGAGATAAAACAGGACATAACAATATAACAATACAGGTCAAAGCGTGACTGTTTCAGCAATCTAGTGCTTCACCACCAAATAACCCGACTTAATAGTAGTTACCATAGTGTCTGTCTTTTTCCTTGAAATATTTGGATAAAACTTCATATACTATAGCTTCAAATATTTCCATATCAAGAAGCCCAGAATAAAGCCTTTCCAATTAATAAGTGAAAACTTTATAAGGCTTCAAGGCCACATAATGGGGAATCATGATTACCACATATTTTTATATATTTGAATCATTACTTACATTAGATAAACTATTCGGTATTCACACATGTGAGATTGATTTATTTCACTTATGAATATGGTCTCAAGCTGTGCCCATTTATTGATAAATATCTCAATGTGATCCTTCTTTATAGCTGAATAATACTCCATTGTATAGAAATACCACAACTTTTTTTATCCATTCCTCAGTTGATGGACACTTGGGTTGTTTCCAAGACCTGGTGATTACAAATTGTGCTGCTATAAACATAGGTGCACATATATCACTGTGGTATGATGCTTTCAGTTCTTCTGGGAATATGCCTAGAAGTGGAATAGCTGGAATAAATGGGATTTCCAATCCCAACTTTTTGAGAAATCTCCAGACAGACCTCCACAAAGGCTGTACCAGCCTACACTCCCACCAACAGTGCAGGAGAGTTCCTTTTTCCCCACAGCCTCTCCAGCATTTGTTGTTGTTGGTTTTCTTGATCCTGGCCATTCTTTCAGGAGTGAGACGGTATCTCAGTGTGGTTTTAATTTGCATTTCTCTAATGACCAATGATGATGAACATTTTTTCATGTATTTATTTTCCATTTGCATTTCTTCATCTGAGAATTGCATATTCATCTCAGATGCCCATTTCTGGATTGGATCTTTGAATTTTGGAGGTCTGAGTTTTTTTAATTCTTTATATGTTTTAGACAAGAGTCCCTTGTCTGAGAGAGAGTTCACTAAAATCTTTTCCCAGTTTGTGGGTTTTCTTTTCACTATACTGGAGATTTCTTTTGACATGCAGAAACTTTTTAATAAGAAATGGTCCCAGTTATTGATTCTGGGAAGTATTTCCTGTGCGGTTTGAGTCCTGTTCATGAATTCTCTACCTACTCCTATGTCTCCAAGGTTTCTACCCAATTTGTCTTCCAATAGATTTAGTGTTTCTGTTTTAATATTCAGATCTTTGACCCATTTAGATTTTAATTTAGTACATGGTGATAGACATGGGTCTAGCTTTAGTTTTCGGCAAATGGAGAGCCAGTTTTTCCAGCACCATTTATTAAAGAGACTGTCGTTCTTCCAATGAACCTGCTTGGCTCCTTTATCAAAGATAAGGTGGTTGAGTGTGTTTGTAGTTGTGGTTGTATCTTCTAATCTATTCCACTGATCTTCGGCTCTGTTTTGATTCCAATACCATGTTGATTTTACTACTGTTGCTTTGTAGTATAACTTCAAGTCAGGGATTGTGATGCCTCCTGCTTTGTCTTTGCTGCTTAGAATTGCCTTTGAGATTCTAGGTCTCTTCTGGTTCCAGATGAAATTTAGGAGTGATTTCTCTAGATCTATAAGGTGTGTTGATGGTATTTCTATTGGGATTGAATTGAATCTGTATAACAGTTTTGGGAGAATGGCCATCTTCACAATGTTTGTTCTTCCTATCCATGAGCAAGGGATGTCTTTCCATTTTCTGAGATCATCCTCAATTTCCTTTTTCAGTGTATTATAATTTTTACTGTATAAGTCTTTCACTTCTTTCATAAGAGTAATTCCTAAATATTTCATTTTTTTGCTTGCTAATGTGAATAGTCCAGTTTCTCTTATTTCCCTCTCTGTGATTTTGTTGTTCGTGTATAGGAATGCTATTGATTTCTGAGTATTGATTTTGTATCCAGCCACATTACTGAATTTATTTATTGTATCTAAGAGTCTTTCAATGGAGTTTAGGGGGTCTTCTATGTAGAGTATCATGTCATCTGCAAACAATGATAATTTAACTTCTTCTTTTCCTATCTTTACCCCTTTTATTTCTCTTTCTTGCCTAATTGCTCTGGCTAGTACTTCCAGTACTATATTAAATAGGAGTGGTGATAAAGGACATCCTTGTCTTGTGCCTGATTTTAAAGTAAAGGCTTTCAATTTTTGGCCATTTAGTATGATGCTGGCTGTTGGTTTGTCATAAATGGCCTTTATTATATTGAGGTAAAGACCATCTATTCCAATTTTCTGTAAAGTTCTTATCATGAATAAATGTTGAACCTTATCGAAGGCTTTTTCTGCATCTATAGAAATGGTCATGTGATTCTTATTTTTGGCTTTATTGATATGGTGGATTACATTTATTGATTTGCATATGTTGAACCATCCTTACATTCCTGGGCTGAATCCCACTTGGTCATGGTGTATAATCTTCTTGATGATTTGCTGGATCCTATTTGCCAATATTTTATTGAGGATTTTTGCATCTGTGTTCATTAGGGAGATCGGTCTATAGTTCTCTTTTTTAGTTGGGTCTTTCTCAGGTTTTGGTACTAGAGTAATATTTGCTTCCAGGAATGACTTAGGAAGGATTGCTTCCCTTTCAATTTCATTGAATAGTTTGAGGAGTGTCGGCATTAGGTCTTCTTTGTATTTCTTGTAGAATTCTGCAGTGAATCCATCTGGGCCTGGGCTCTTCTAGGTGGGTAAGGACTTAATTACATTTTCAATTGCATTAACAGAGATTGGGTTATTCAACAGTTTTAAATCCTCTTGATCTAGCTTTGATACTTCATATGTTTCTAAGAATCTGTCTATTTCTTCTGTGTTATCAAACTTTTGAGAGTAGAGGTTTTCGAAATAGGTGTTGATGATCTTCTGTATTTCTATTGGGTCTGCAGTGATTTCACCTTTTTCATTTCTTATTGCATGAATTCGAGCTTTTTCTTCCTTTTTTAAAATAAGGTTGGCTAGGGGCTTATTGATTTTATTTATTCTTTCAAAGAACCAACTCTTTGATTTGTTGATTCTTTGGATTGTTTTTTTAGTCTCTATTGCATTGATTTCTGCTCTGATTTTTATAATTTCCTCTCTTCTTTTGGCTTTGGGCTTGACTTGCTCTTCTTTTTCTAGCTGTTTGAGGTGTCGCATCAAGTTATTTATTTGTATTCGTTCTGTTTTCCTGATGTGGGAACTCAGTGCAATAAATTTTCCTCTCAGGACGGCTTTCATTGCATCCCACAGATTCCGGTAAGTTGTATCTGCATTTTCATTTTCTTTTAGGTATTGTTTAATTTCTTCTTTAATTTCTTCTGTGACCCACTGATTACTCAAGAGTGTGTTATTCAGTTTCCATGTGTTTGCGGGATTTTTGCAGTATCTTTTATCATTAATTTCTTTTTCTTTTTTTTTTTTTTTTTGTCTTTTTCGTTTTTTATCGGTACCGGGGATCGAACTCACGACTGGCTGCTTGCAAGGCAGGCGCTTATGCCGCTGAGCTAAATCCCCAGCCCCTTATCATTAATTTCTAATTTCAGAGCGCTATGATCTGATTACATGCAAGGGATGATTTCAACTCTTTTGCATTTGTTTAAATATGTTCTGTGAGCTAATATATGGTCTATTTTAGAGAATGATCCATGTACTGCTGAGAAGAATGTGTATTCTGATGTTGTTGGGTGGAACATTCTGTATATGTCTATCAAACCCATTTGTTCACAGGTGTGATTCAGTTCTGTTGTTTCTTTGCTCATTTTCTGTCTGGTCGATCTGTCCCTTGGTGTCAATGGCGTATTAAGGTCTCCTGTTACAATTGTGTTACTGATAATTTGAGTTTTCATTTCTGTTAATAATTGTTTTATATAACTGGGCGCTCTGGAGTTTGGTGCGTATATATTTAAGATAGTTATCTCTTCCTCTTGGAGTTTTCCCCTTACGAGTATGTAGTGACCTTCTTTGTCCTTTATGGTCATTGTTGGTTTAAAGTTCATGTTGTCTGCAAACAGAATGGCTACTCCTGCCTTTTTTTGGATTCCTGCTGCATGAAGAATTGTTTTCCATCCTTTGACTTTCAGTCTGTGAGAATCCTTCTGGGTTAGATGGGTTTCCTGTAAACAGCATATGGTTGGATTTTGTTTCTTGATCCATTCTGCTAGTCTGTTTCTTTTGATTGGTGCATTGAGACCATTTACATTAATGGTTATTACTGTTAAATGCTGGTTTATTATAGGAATGTTATCTCTCTGCTGTTACATCTTTATCTTTCTGTTCTGTTTAATTATTTGCTTTGCTTAGTGGTTTTTTCCTTTGTGTATCTAAACTGTCTTTCAATATTTTTTTGCAGGGTTGGTTTGGTGTTCATGAAGTTCTTCAGCTGTTCTTTGTCATGGAAGTATTGTATTTCACCATCAATTTTGAATGATAGTTTTGCAGGTTATATCAGTCTAGGTTGGAAATCATTTTGCTTTAGGATCTGGAATACTTCACTCCATGCTCTTCTTGACTTTATTGTTTGTGCTGAGAAGTCTGCTGTCATTCTGATAGGTTTTCCTTTATAAGTGATCTGTCTTTTCTCTCTGACAGCTTTTAATAATCTATTCTTGTGTTGAATTTCTGGGATGGTGATTATTATATGTCTGGGTATAGTTTTCTTTTGGTTATGACTATTGGGAGTTCTATATGCTTCACTGATCCTGATATCAGTTTCTGATCTCATGCTTGGGAAATTTTCAGCTATTACTTCTCTAAATATCCTCTTGACATCCTTTATGTTGTCTCCTTCTTTTTCATTAATCCCTATCATTCTTATGTTATTCTTCTTTGCATCGTCTTGCAGTTGTTGAATTGTTGTTTCCTGATTCCTTGTTATTTTTAAAAGATCTTTCCTTTCCTGTTCACTAGCTGCAATCCTGTCTTCAAGGTCTGAAATTCTATCTTCACTTTCATTAAGGCGGTTTTTACAACTTTCATTGGAGTTTTTTATTTCCTGTATATCTCTGTGCATCTGCATTATGTATGCTGTTTGTTTCCTATATTGCTCGTCTAGGGATTCTATCTTTTTGTTTAGTTCCTCCAATTTTTTATCTGTGTTTTCTTTAGATATATTCAGAATCTCTTTCATTTCTTTTATCATCTCTTCTTTTATCTGGGAGATTATTTCGAGTTTGAATTTCTTTAAAGCTTCCTGAAGTTGCTTGTCAATTTCAGTAGCCATTGTGTCCGATATTTGAGGCGGATGGCATATATTTTCTTCTATATACATTGCTCCTAGGGTTTCTTGAGATGGGCTGGAGGTTTGAGGTTGTAATTTGGTCTTTCATTTTGCCATTTTCCTATATTTCTGTGTTTCAAGTGTTATTTGAAAACTTCCTCAGGATCTGTTGAAAATCCCCTTCTATGTTTGCAGCTACTGAGACTCTGGCACCACGCTACCCCAAGCCACTGGGCCTGCAGAACCAATGGCCCTCCTCTGCCTGCTCAGAACTCCACAGTTCCAGACAAGCTGGGCCTCAGGGACACTGTGTGCCCACCTGCCCCTTGGAAGCTCCACAGCTCTCCAATCGCAGCCAGGTTAGAGTACTCACCACAGGCCATGGTGCCTCAGGAACTTGCGATCCCTCCCTGCTCGCAGAGACATCCACAGTCCTCCAAACATACGGAGAGGCCGATGCAGGCACCCCAGATCTGCCCAGCCCCTCCTCTGCACATCGATGGCTAGGTGCGGCAGTCTGAAACAGGCTGGGCTCCGGGGATAGTGTGGGCCCACCCACCCGTCGGAAGCTCAGCAGTTCTCCAAGTGCAGCCAGGATGGAGAGGCAGATGTAGAGGCCTAAACCTACTACTCCACTTCACTGCACCAAGAAGCCTGGAGGATCCGGAACAGTCTGAGATTTGGGCAGAGTGTGCTGAGCACTCACCACAGGCCGCGGTGCCTCAGGAACTTGCGATCCCTCCCTGCTCGCAGAGATATCCACAGTCCTCCAAACATACGGAGAGGCCGATGCAGGCACCCCAGATCAGCCCCTGTCAGGCTCTTTTGAAAACTTTCAACACAGCACCTGGATAACATCCCCAGAAATCCTGTGGGCTGGGCCCCATGACTCCTCTGACTTTCTTGCTTCTGCCTTGGCATTAGCCCCCAGCCCCTTCGACCAAACTAGGCCTGCTGTGGGGCCTGGGGGCTTGGACCAAGCACTTCCTAGTTGAACCTCATATGACTCCTCTGCTATATAAGATGTCTTAACCATATCTTTATCCTCTGTGTTTTGATTCTTAGACATCTGGAGCTTGGTAGACCCTCCTAAGAATAGTCAAACAAGGCACTCACATGTGAGGTGAGCGAGGGCCACATTCCAGCCCACCTCACATGCCTAACCACTAACTAGCAGTCCTGGTCACCCCAGGGCCAGCAATCAGGTAACTAGGTACAGCCCTCATTGTCCAAAGCCCACTTTTATTATTCAAGTCAATCAATCCTAAACCTGCTTAGCCTGCTTCCCCTACTCCTACCTGTGGAGACAATATTAAGTACCCCTGCCCAGACTTCCCTATTGCTCCCACTGGTGGCTTTCCCTTTGTGGCCCTGTGGGGTATGAGGTACCTCCTGTTCCCAGGGTACAGTGAGTATACTTCTTTCATTGTGGCAGTATTTTGCACACCTGCTTATTTTACTCTATCTGAGTAATATAAATTCTAGGTCTTCCTAAAAAATAAGGGCAATAATGTCCCTGAGCAGGGCTGCTCTGGGGCTTATACAGATAGCAAAGGCAGAGCCACGGTCCAGAGAGGATGTGCAATCTTTGTCCTTCCTTCTAACTGGATCTCTTTCATGAGCAAGCTGCTTATCCCTTCCTGTCCCTATCTCTCTTACCTCTGCCCACACAATCCTCTAACTGACCCAGAAACTTCCACCCTTGCAAGTAGAGTGCCTGTGTCTTACCAGTAGCTGTGGCAGGAAATACCAAGAGCAGACAAGCTGCCCAGACCAGGACACCAGACCCAGATTTCACCATTGCTCCCTGCTTGTCACAGCCGACTGTGGGTAGAAGTTGCAAAAGTTGAAAGAGTGCCGTGTTTGAAGGCAGGACAACTTTTTAAACAAAAGGGATTTATTTAGCTTACCATTCTGGAGGTCCAAAGGCATGATGCTAGGATCAGCTCAGTTCTGACAGTGAGTAGTGAAAATGCACACAGGAGGCAAAGATCACATTTCAAAAAAGAGATTGGTATTTCACAATTCTTTCAAAGGACACACCCCTAGTAACCTATGGATCTCCTTTTAAAAGCTCCACCTTTTAAAGGCTCAACACCTCCCAATGCCACTCTAAGGACCAAGATTTTAACATATGAAACTTTGTGGAGATAAACAATATCCAAACTATAGTATTCCATGCCTGGTTCCAAGGTTCAGGCACTCACAGTGAATTCTCATCCTCAGTATTCCCAAAGTCTGAACTTATTCCCAGGTCTTTCAAAAGTCCAAGTCCAAAGTCTTCTCTAAAACTTAAGCTAAATGCTTTCAGCTTTGAGTCTCTATAAAATAATTTTATCAAAGACAGATGTTAAAAAATAAATTACAACAATAAAAATTAAGTATACACTTATAAGATGCAATGGTAGAAAAGAGAAAGAGTAAACATTGTTATTCCCAAAGAGAGGAATAGGTAAGTTGAAAGGAGTAATTGTCCCAAAGCAAGACTGAAATCCAGCAGGGCAAACATTAAATTCTAAATCTTCACGTTCATCCCTGTGACAGTGAGGCAAGGTGTGGATTCCCAAGGCTTACAACTTTGCTGGCCCATGTAGCATTTTAATGTGGTGAAAAAATATAAAATGATTAAATATGTTTTAGACTACTAAATAAGGTCACTTCAAGGATTTTGTTAAAGGTTTTAATGTTGTCTAAAAAGCAAAAAAAAAAAGTAATTGACTGGTAATAAGTAAAAAAAAAGTGGTTTTGTCTTAAAGTAAAAATGTAAAAGAGAAAATGCTTTCTGTGGCATGGCTATCAAGAGCAAAGAGCCCAACAGGATAATTTGCAATACTGTGAGTTTAGGGAAGGAAGATTTACAAAAATGCTATAGATTGTAAACACAGAGTTGAGATTTTGATTGATGAAAACAAACAAACAAAAAAAAGAAACAATTTGTCTTGTACTAGAAAAAGCTGATCTAAATTAAAAAAAATAACTATTGTGCCTAATATGATTGATGATTATAGGGATAAAATACAAGTTCTTGCATATGCTGTAAACATCTGGAAGATTATGTGACACAATTACTTTTGTTACCTATAAAAAAGCCCTTTTTTGTTAAGTATGTAATTTCAGTAAAACAATGGCTTGCCACGTGGCACCCTGGGACAAAAAAGCAGTATGCCATCCAGATAAAGCCTGCCCTCTGGCAACCGGAATGCCAGAACCATGTTTTCCTTTTGTCCCACCCCAATTGGCCAACCAGAGGTAAGGAGGTTCCCGATTGGTATTGCCAGTTGTTCTCGGTAGTCATTAGGGCACCCCAGAAAACTAACCAATATGCCCAAGATAGCAGAGGTGAGACAATTGGCTAATAAATCTCCCTCGGGGTTTTCTAAAAGGATTGCAAAAGGCCTATCACATTTATACACTGGTAGCACCTAAAAATGCAAGGGCCATTAATATTGCCTTTGTAACCCAGTCGGCCCCTGATAGTAAGAAAAAATTGCAAAAGTTTGAGAGATTTGAGGAAATGCCCTTCAGTCAGTTATTAGAGGTTGCTTAAAAGAGATTTGACAGCATGGAGGACCCTAAAGACCAGGCTTAAGAGGTTTCTGCTGGGCAAAAAGACTACACTGGTTGTTGGACTTTCCATAAAAAAAAAAATAAAGACTCTTTCCTCCCAGTGGATGCAAGCCATCCAACAGATTCCAGTCCCTGTGACTAAAAGGCAAGTGCGAGAATTTCTAAGAGCCACAGGACTGACGCAGAGTTTGGGACCCTGGCGGAGGCCTGTTGCCTATCTTTCCAAGAGACTTGATTATGTGGCAGACAGATGGCCACCTTGTCTGTGGATGATTTCCTCGGTGGCCCCACTGGTAAAGGAGGCTTAAAAATTGACTTTTGGACAGAAACTCTTAATTGTTCCCTCCTGTTCGCTGAAGACTCTCATCAAAGCTCCGCTGGACCAATGGCTGCTCAACTCCCAAGTCATGCATTATCAGGCATTACTTCTAGATCTGACTACCATCAGTTTCAAGGGAACAGCGACTTCAAGCCCTGCTACTCTGCTGCCTGATGATGCCCTTCCTTGCCCCTCCATGACTGTATTAGGGACCAGACATGACAGATGAGCCACTATTCAGAGTTCCTTTGTATTTCTCCGATGGAAGCAGTTACATCTATCAAGGTAAGTGGGTCGTGGGAGCTGCCGTGACCACAGACTCTCAGATTCTATGGGAACCAACCCTGGAGCTGGGAACATTGGCCCAATGGGCTAAACTCATTGCCTTCACTGAGGTCTCAAGTTGTCAAAGTATGCATTTGTTACTGCCCATGTTCATGGGGCCATTTATCAAGAATGGTGTTTATTGACTTCTGGGGTCAAAAGATAAAAAATGCTCCCCAAATTTTGGACTTGTTGGCTGCCATCTGGATGCCAAGGAGAGTGGCTATTATCCATTATAGAGCCCATTGGGCAGGAGATGGCCTTGTATTACAAAAAATAATTTGGCAGACGCCACTGCCCAAAAGGCAGCCACAAAATCAGTGAGGATTAAGATAGCCCTGACATTACTGCTGATCCCACCTACTTTGTCAGAGCCTATTTGCACTTGAAAAGACTTACATCTGGGGGCTAATATCAAAGCTTGCCCAATCTGTGAGCCTCAGATGCCCTCAGTGCCAATCGGTGAACCCAAAACAACTGCAACAAATAGAAATTGCTCGCTATGTGGGACTATGCCTAGAGAACATTGAGAAATAGACTTTACAAAAATGAGGAAGCCTAGACTTCCAGGATGGTCCGGCCCGCAGATCAATCCGTGGGGTGTACCTGGAGGGGGAATGGGGATTAAATAAAAACATAGGGGAGACAGAGAGAGACAGAGGCAAGTTGAGAGAGTCCAATCAAGCCCCATTTATTCCGGAAGTGATCACATCTTTTATAGGCTAAGGGCGGGCTGGTGGGACAGGAAGAGGCTATGGGGATGAATACAACAGGTTCATCGTCACATCCAGGTATGTGACGTAAGCAGGAGAGGATTATGGTTAATGTAGGCAGACGCATTGTGCCCATAAGAGAGAGAGAGAGGCAGGGAGGCAGCAATGGGGCTGTCGCACGACTCCCTACACCAGGAAATAAGTACTTATTAGTAATGATAGATATTTTTCACTAGATGTGTTAAAGCTTTGCCTACTAAGTCTGAGTCAGTCCTGATAACAGTTTCCCCGATTTGGCCTCCTTTTATCCATGGGGTCCAACAATGGCCCAACTTTTATAGTCCAGATAACTCAAAAACTAACCTAAGCTTTGCAGATCAATTGGAAACTCCATTGTGCTTACCAGCCTCAAAGTTCAGGACAAGTAGAAAAGATAAACCAGACTTTAAAGACGATAATTACTAATGGCCTTAAAAACTGGTGAGAACTGGGTGAGTCTCTTTCCTTTTGCTCTTTTACATGCGTGATATACCCCCTATGTTGCAGGTATTTCCCCTTTTGAGGCTTTTTTTTTGTCTTTTTCTTTTTTATCAGTACTGGGGATTGAACTCACAACTGCCTGCTTGCAAGGCAGGTGCTTATGCCACTGAGCTAAATCCCCAGCCCCCCTTTTGAGGCTTTATATGGGAGACTTCCTTCTCTTATCCCTAAGCTTTCTAAAAAAAATTAGCTGATTTAGCTAATCAAGATATTATTAAGTCCCCCCAGATTTTTCAGCCAGTTCTGACTTCCATCCACTGATTATTTGGACAACAATATCCTCCACATGCTGCCCACTGTGAGGACAAGTCTCTTGAGCCATGATGAAAAGGTTCCTACATTGTAGTCCTCAGCACTCCAACCATTTTCAAAGTAGCCCAAAAGCCTGCCCTGGATTCATCATTCCCACTTCAAGCAGGTCCCGGCTTCCAAAGGTGATCAACCTACAGATAAGTGGACTGTCCAAGGACTCTTTAAAGCTTAAGATTGCCAAATGTAACTGATAATCTTGTGTTCTCCCCTATAGAGACCCCAAGGAGGCCTCTGTCTGGCTTTAGAAAAAAAAATTGTTACTTGTATGACAGAATGGAGTTAATTTAAGTGTTGGTTTTCTTTCTCCTTTTGGTTAATAGTTTTAATAATGACAGCTGCAAGACCTTTGTTAATCCTCCTATTGGTCCATGCATTGTAAACAAGTTGATAACTAAGTCAAAGATCTTAAAGCTTATGATTTTAAAGACACAAGGTTATAAACAGATACCTATATCTGAAAACCCCATGAGCCAATGATTTGGATCACTGACTAAAATCAGTGGGGAATGCTGTACCCTAGCAAAAAAAGCTTCGTTATGTTTGTATTATACCAAAATACCTGTAACATGGCTGTACTGTTCTGTTCTTTTCCCCCTCTGGGTGACCTAATTGATATGTTAATCAATGCTCTCCTCTGTAAAGAATTGTGGAATATCTGGGAACCTAACCTAATTGATATGTTAACCATTGTTGCCCTCTACAAATAACAGATGTGGTGCTAAAATAAGCTGACAAGGGATTCTTGATTGCTGCCAGACTTCTCTGTTCTCTGCTAAGGAAAACACAGGTCTTCCTCATTAGCAGATTTCCTGATCCACGCCCATAACCCCTTATTTTGTAAACTGTGATATGCACATAAAGGCTGCAAGTATGGAGGAGCAAGACACAGCTTTTACAACTTCAACTGCACTGTGTTTCTGGGCCCAGGATAAAATAAATCAGCACTGCTTTTTAAAAATATGTTTTTGCCTCATTTTTTGAACTCAAGTTTGGGGGCTCATTTGTGGATTACAAGAGGCTGATGCCTGCTGCTTTTCAAGGCTGCTATGACACACTACTGTTTTCTCTGCCTTTCTGGGAGACCCACTTTGGTTCCACCCCACAGTCCCATTAGGCATTGCCATACTAGGGACCCTCTACAGGGACTTGGACCTTTATCAGACTTCTACCTGGCCTCAAAGATTTTCCTTTGAAATCGTGAAGGAAGTGGGCAAGACATTATAACTTGCATTCTGAACATCCTCAGAATTCATACTATGTGCACACATCTTTAGAGTCATGAGGGCACGAGGGCTTCCTAGGCTGCTGGACTGTGACTGCAAATAGCTGTGGAGCAGGTCATAGTAAGATGGCACAAAGAAAAGCCTGACTCTTCCTTTTCTTGTGCTGGCCAGAGAGGGGCATGGTTTGCCCAATGGCTGTCATGCTCTACTTCCAATTCCCCTAGCTCTTTCTCATCTTCTCTCCATGAATATGGGCAATTTGCCTCATTGTCCTCCCAGGTAATTTAGAAGTCACTCTCCTCCTGGCCCTTTGGACAGCAGTGCAGCTCAGTTATCAGCTTGGTGCCTTCTCTTACTCCTACCATTTCTGTTACCACTGCAGCCTCTTTGAAGAAGGGAGGGGAGGAGAGCCACCTTAACATGGCTAAGCTCAAGACGGAGGGACCTGGGTCTATTGTAATAACCCTCAAACTCCCCAAACCTCAGTAAGCTACAATAAGCAGAACTAGCTCTCCAGATTTCCTGGTTTTAGCTCGGTCATTTTTCCTGAGATTGATAGCTGTGAATCAAATAGCTGATGTTACCCTGGAATCTCACTGAATCACCCTGGACAGCTGCTGTCCTGGAGCCCCATCCCACTTGAACCAATCACAGACCTGGATCTGGACTGATCAGGAGGCCTGAATTTGAACCAATCACAGAATTGTACTTGTACCAATCACAGGCCTACAGCTTCTGTATAAGCAGTATTTTTCTCACATCTCTCTAGTTAGTTTTCCAGGCTCCCTCTGGTATACTACTCTCCTGTGCTGCCCCACAGGTCCTGTTAAAATAAAGACTCCATTTGGTCCTGTAAATCTGCTTCTGATTTATTTCTTTGGAATCTGGGCTCTGAAGGACTTATAAATCTACTCAGGATTCTCATCCAGAGTAGTGTGGACAGATGAGTTATTTCAAAGAAAGATCCAGAGATTACAGACCAGCAGCTACTGAAGATCAACCACAGAGACCAGTACCTGTCAGTCTCATCTAGCATTATCAGGTGCATCCAGTGATATCAGAGCCACTAGCAGAGTTGTGCTTTGCAGATTTATGATTTCCATCTGAGTGGAGCAAAACAACTCTTGGGGGAAATATATGTATAGTCTCTCTCTCTCTCTCTCTCTCTATATATATATATATATATATATACACACACACACACACACACACACACACAGTATGGATACATAATGAGTGTATATATACACATATACATATACATAGTAAGTTCAAGTACAGTCTGAACCATGTAGTGAAATTATCTCAAAAACAATCAACACACACACACACACACATCTATACATACCTTCATATAAACATATAGATGGGATACCCTATAACTGCCCTTGATCCACTTTTTCCTCTAGCTGTTCCCGCATTTTTCTGCTTTTGTTTTTAGCATCACAAACATCCTCTTCAATTGCTGTCTCCATTTTCTCTTCTGCCAATTTCTCTTAAAAGTTGCCTTTGCTCCAACCTAAGATCGAGGCCTGGTGTGACTGGGAAAGGTGAGTCTGGCAGGAGAATGGAACTAAAGGGTCAAAGGCCTTATGGGCCAGAAGTTGTGGCCACAGCCATGTCCCCCATTTTCCTGCCATTTATATCTTCTGAAGATCTGTGTGCCTACTACAGCCCCACTAGGATACCAAGAACCTTCCCTTAAACCTAGAGTTATTATAGCCATCGTTCTTGCAGACACAGACCCCAAGACATTGGGTTAGAGAGGAGGGAAAAGAAAGCTATAACTGGAAAAGCCAGCAGTGCTTCTCTGAAGAGGCATAGGACGAGACTGCCACAGATGGGAAGTGAGAATGATCTTTGAGGAGAGTGGAGAGAATATCTTGAACAAAGGCAGGAAGGGGTGACTGTTTTTTTCATCCTGAAGGTTCCTCTTTTTCAGGACATACACATCACTGGGACCCCCTTAAGAGTTTATTAATCTATTGTAGTTCCTATGTGAGGTGCTGTGTATGTTTCTCCCCATTCAGCCTTGGTCTTGGTTTGTTGTTTATAATTAAAAATACTTTTTTGTCCTTCTTTTGAAGTACACATGTGACTGTGGCCTTTCTGTAGGTTGCCCCTTTAGCCCATGGCTAAGATCCAGTTCATAGTCAATTATTAACTGGAGAAGCATGAATTGAAGGTATGCTGGCCAGGTGCTGGGCAACTGACAGCCAATTCCCAGGCTTTCAGTTCTCAGGGAAGGGAGAGTGGTCAAGAGGGAGTCTGAGGTATCCTGAGCCCTGCGGGGGTGGAGGGAAATAGCCTGGGTCTAGAGGTACCTGTCCAGCCTGACTACTCTCTGAAAATGGCCTTGGCCTCTCTGTGCCCTGCAGAGTCTCACAGCTCAGTGCTGTCCAGTTCCCTTCTCAGTGCCTGAGAAGCAGCAATGAGCATTTATCTGTGTCTGAGTGGCTGCAGTGCCGACACCCGTGCCCTCCTTCACCTTCATCCAATGAGCAAGGCCTGTTGCTGACTCAGTGTCTGTCACCCAAGGCACTGTGGCTCACTTCACGGTCCCAGTCCCTGCCTGGGCAGATGCTTTGTCTTCCTCTAATCTTTGTGACCCTGTCAATTTCTAGGTTGTTGGTGCTGAGAGATCCCCAGCTGCTCCCAGCTCAGGCTCATGTTCCAAGCTCTTTATGTTAACTGGACAACACAATGCTCCTTCCTAATCCAGGGCTGCTGCCCACCACTGCTGGGGTGAATGAATGGCCTTATGTGCTCTGCGAGTACTGCACCATCACTGGAATTTTTGTTGGCCAAGGTAACAGTAAAGTGTAGAATGTGGGAAATAAGAGCCTCAGCAGCATATCTGTGGAGGCGTGGGATATAAGTGGTTATATACATAAATTTAATTTATACACACATGTATATATGTACACATAGTCATATAGATGGAGGGAGGGAGAGAGAGAGGGAGAGAGAGAGAAAGAGAGAGAATGACAAAGAGATATAGACAGAGAAATAGAGAAACAGAGAAGAGAAAGATGGAAGCAGAGGTAAAAAGTCCAGAGAAACATCTACAATGAGATCTCACCACACACTTTCACATAGAATCAGATTGAAGACCCATATTCTCACCAACACTTGGACTTACGGGCAAAAATACTGAGGGAAAAATATGATTGATATATTCATACATGGAATGCTGCTCTACAATAAAAGGAAACAAATAACAGCTTGACACTGAGAAACATTAAGCCAAATGAAGTCAGTCACAATTATTTCTTCTATATGATATTTAAGCAAAGGCAAATTATAGCGAAGAAAGCAATTAGGTGGTTAACATGGAGAAGGATTCAAGGCAATGACTGACTTTGCAAAAGAGCATGGGAGTTTTTGGGGGAAAAGAAACATCCTTATACTTGATGTGTCAGTGTTAGATGTCTCATACATTTACTCAAATTTGCCAAACTATGAGTGAAAATTTGCCAAACTATGGGTGAATTTAATTGTATGCAAAGTACTCCACAATATAACTTTAAAAAAATAAGATGACTACTAAAAGTCTAAAATACCTAGGAGTCCATCTTGGGGGAGTGTCCTGGGTAGCTGCAGCTTGAAAACCATACAGGGGTCTGCCTGCATCAGGGGCTCTGTAAGGTTTTCCCTTCACAGTGGAGCATTACCAGCATGTGGGTTAATACGCCTAAAAGGTGCATCAGCGCTCTGGTTCCTAGGTTGGAAAGTCTTCCTCAACCCAAAGGTCTAGACTTGAAAGTCTTTTTAAAAAAAGTTTTATTATTTTGAAGGTAGTGAAATACAACAGGACAAGACAGAATGAAGCCAATTGAGACAGTGCAGTGAAATTGGTAGAGAACTTCACAACAGGTTACCGGGATAACAGTAATAGGTGCCATAGTATATCTTGTTATCTTCACAATTCTTGTTCTTTCAATCAGGTATAGCTAAATCAAACCAAATACAGAACATCATAAAACCTTTCAAAACAGAATATTGAATAGAGCAATACAATTAATCAGAACAAAGCAAAACAGTGATAACAATATTTTCCTTCAAAGAGATGGTAAAAGGAAATCCCCCCTACTTGCTATGTTGCATATGGTCACCCTCAAACAGATGCTCAGACCTCTGGCTCCCGTTTTAGACTTAAAAGTCTTTGTCAGTAAGTTTAAATGCTGTGCAGGAAAGAAGAGGGATGCTCTCCCTGGAAAAACTGGTGCCACAAGAAGATAAGCTGGTCACAGGAAAGAGAATGGAGTAGATGCCAGGGTCAGTGGGATAAGTGAAATAGCTTCTTAATGACACAGGGAAAATGCATTGGAGGAACAGAGAGGCAGGTCGAGCACACTTTGGCATGTTTACAAAATGAGACAAAATACTTGAGAGGGTTTTGATTGGAGGGGACAAGAAATGTTTAGGGACAACAATTAAGTAAGAAGAAAACTGAATCCCATGGACACCCATGGTGAGCAGGGAATGTTCAGGGTCTCAGAAAGTTCAAGGGGATTTCTGAAAAGCAGGAGGATACCTTCCCAGAGGAAAAGCCTTCAGGGAGAGAGAGAGGAATCTCTTCTGTGAGACATGTCTGGAACTCCTTGACTCTTCAGTCCCACTTCTAAAATAACCCCAGAACCAAAACCCTTCACAGATGTGCTGTGATTGTCTACTTGCAGGCCTTAGAGTTCTTGTAGGACAAGATATACAGAGTGTATTTAGGAAACTGGCCTCCTGGACACACTCTTGACGGTGCAGAGTTGGGATCCTGCTGAGTCCTGTTCTTACAAAATGGGACCAATCACCTATTTGGGACACAAATAGATGAGTAAGTGGGTTGTTTCATGTTAACAAAAAACTACATTTAATCTACAAAGGCAAGAGATGGTTGCAGAGATTTCCACATTTTTATTAGTTATAGCCCCAGTGGCTAAGATTTGGGAGCATTTATGTGTGGTGGTCTGAAGGTTTACATCCCCGATTTTCACATATTCATGCCAGTTTCCAGTGTGATAGTATTAAGGAGAGAAGTTTTTGGGAGAGAGATGGGATTGGTGTCTATATAAAAGAGGCCTGAGAGAGTCTGATTGTTCCTTCAGTCATATGGGGAAATTGTGACAAGTTACTCTAGAAGATCCAGAAAACAGACCCTTACCAGATACCAAATCCATTGTTATGTTTTCTGGACTTTGCAACTTGCAAAACTGAGAGCAATTAACTTCTGCCAAACAGATTATGATTTTTTAAAAAAATAGTATCCTGAATGCACTAAGACACTGGGGCTTCTGGTGTTCATATTTCCTACTAGCAATTTATAGAACTGAGAATACAGGGCCTTACTGAGAGGTGATGTAGGATTCTAAACTTTGGGTGAAAGCAGCTCCCAGAACACCTTTCTCAAAGTAGGGAAGATGTGGACCTGGGAGGGGAAGAAAGACAGAGTAGAGATAAGGAGAGCTGCAGGAGGGAGGAGGGGCCCAGGAGTATGGAGGAAGGTGGCATCTATTGGGACTTAGCCACCCACAGCTTCCTTTGAATGTACTGAGTGTGTCTGACAAGAGGAGACACACTGCAGGCTTGGAAATGAGCATTATGCAATGGGTTCTTCTTAAGTGTTGACTGAGTGGATGGACAAAGAGTGGATGAATGGCTGTGTGAATGTAGTCAATCTAGGCTCCTCAGTAGGTGTGTTTGCCACAGGCAGACCCCACCTTCATTGAAGACCATCCTCTCTCCCCACTTGGGGCGCTACAGCTCTGTGTGCTTCTCCTCAGCTCTCTTTCGCTCCTGGATCTTCTGGTGCAGGGTCTCTGTCCAGAACTTAAACCTGGAGGCCTTCAGGGCATGGCCCACAGCAGGCTGGAGGTTCAGTTGCAGGTACAGCTCCTTGTGATCCAGTGCAGGCCATTGGGGCAGGCTCTGGCCATTGGGGTTCCTGCAGACATACCCTCCCAACATGGGGGGAGAGGTCACTATAAGCCCTGCAGAGCCCAGACCTCAGAGGTCTGATTTGGGTCAGATCAGGTAGCCACATTGGCCAAGAGACCTGGGTGAGCAGGGAGTTTCTGGATATATGAATGCAAGGTCTTCCTTCTAGGGTCCCCTTTATTTGCAGCAGGGTAATGGCCCTGTTTTATCCCTCCCTTTCAGAGCAGGCCATTCTTTGTCTATATCCATGTCAGTCTTGGAGTGGGGAGGCTTTTTACTATGTAACTAAAGGCACAAATAATAAAGCCACAACACACGAGACATCCTGTTCACACACCCAGGGAAGGTTGAGGCAGGGGACCATCCTCTCACCCATTTCGAGCAAAGTTCGCCCAATATTTCATCATTCTTCTACTCAGCAGCTCTTCCTCCTCAGTAAGATCAACTGCAGAAAGGAAGACAAATACCCATGTTCTCATCGACCTGAATTCCCACTGAGTGGGATACCTAGAAGGTCCCTTCTTCCTTCAAGATCCCCCGTTCCTGAAAATATGCTGGGGATGGGTGAAGACGACACAGACCGGAATGGAAAAGGCTTAGATTTTAATCCTGGTACAGACTTTGAATTGTAGTTTGGTGGACACCTAATCCCTTTTTCTCTCTCTTAGTATCTGAAAAGTGAGAGCCGTTACTCTTCAGGGACCCAGCTGTGGCCTCATTCCATCTCTTGAAGATCAGGAAAGACTCACTTTTGTTATTCCAGAACAAGGATCCAAAGAGAAGGAACACTTCATCACAATGGTCAGCCTTCACATAGGGTGGCTTGGAGTATTTGAGGAAGTTAGGCCGATGCTGGAACTCGTAGAAGTAGACTGTGCCACGGGAACCTGGGAATGTGGACAGGCTGTGACATTGTAGTTCCTTACCTGGAGCCGTTCTGCCTCTCCTTGGTGACAAGACACTTTGCTTTGTGCTAATTGGATTATGGACCATGAGGTAGGGACCCTAGACTGGAACAGGGGCTTCGGGAAAGATCTCAGTTAAACCATAGCCTTGGCATTCCTAGTTTTGTAGGTACTAGTAAAAAACTGAATGTTACTAACTCGGCTTCCTCAACTGTAAAATTAGTAGATGTCAGTTTGTTTGATCAATCAAGAAGTATCCAAAAGAGGGACAACAAGTGTCTTATCTCAACAACTTGATAAAGATGTGGGTCAGTAAATGGACATGAGAGATCTCATTTTGGACTCAGAGTTCTGAGATGGCCCCTAGGCGATCAGGTCCCAGTTACAGATGGACTCACGCTGAAAATGTGCTACTTGGAGTGCAGGAATCACAAAGATGGCATCTCCCATCATCTCATGGAACTGAGCTTGGAGGGTCTGGGGGTCCTCATTGTTTCCCACATACTCTTCCATCAACAGGTCTCCAGACTCATCAGGCAATATCTAGACCATGGGGATTAGGGAGAGTCAGGCCATTTAGCTCTGGGCCAGGGAGACCAAAGACTCAGGATGGGGAGGTAGGGCCTGGAATGGGACTGGGAATGCAGCAAAAGATCAAGTTCTGCATTGATCTCACCTATAAACATACATATATATTACCCTTTATTCATGGAATTGGCTGCATGGCAGGAAATTAGGGGTACCCAGTTCATTGTGGCAGGACACCAGGAACCTCACCGATTGTGTTGCTATGTGCCGCAGAACAGCCTTCATAGTCTCTCTGTCCATTTTCTCTTTGATGTTAGCAATGATCATGCCCTGGGTAGTAGGGAGAAGAGTCCCATGTTTGGGGTATATGAGCTTGAAGCTATAAGCACCTAATGTCTCCTTGGAGATGCTTAGACAGAGGGATCTGGGGATGGACCTCACCTTGGGGAGGATCCAGCCAAACTCATCATTGTTGACACCAATGATGCTGGGGACAGGTTGAAAATCAGCAGAGGCCAGCAGTTCCTGAGGGTGTCTAGGCAGGAACTTTCCATCTACTACACCAGCAATGATCTTGAATTCCTGAGGGAAAATGAAAGTCAGGAATAAAGATCAAGTTGTAGGAAATTTCTGAAGTCCTCTGGGTATGTCATATCCCTTCCTGGCTCCTCCCCAAATGCCTACTTTACAAGGCCTAATGCCTGGGTAGGTGACCTACTGTGCCAGTTAATATCCAGGACTACCAGACATCATGGTGTAGAAGTTCACAGAAGGTCTCTGGGAATTTGAAGGGCACTCAGGTCTTCCTGCACCATATACTATCACCCCCTTGCATCCCTCCCAAGACCATCCAGCCTGACCTTGATAATAGTCAGCATTTCCTCTTCACTCTTGCCTCGCAGGCACCTCACCAGGGCCTCTGAGTCTACTTGCCCACAGCCAGATAGGTCGGCCACCTTCTGTAAAAGGACCATACAGGGACAGGTTCATCCTTCCAGATAGGGAGAGGTGTATGCCTAAGGCCCCATTAAGATCCCCTAATATCACAGGTACTCTGTGCAGGTGTGAAATTGTTTGAGTTTCCTGATGCTCAGAAGTTTCAGGCAGCCAATTTTTTCTTCCTGCTACATGATTCTGCCCACCATTTGTACTAGAAAACAGCTTTGCTGTCCATAGAATATCCTCAGCTTCTGTTATGCAGAGCTACATAGACTCTGACCCTTGAGTCCTTCAGTATTTCCCAGGAAGGCCACAGTCAGGTCCCAAGGTACCTCAAGTGTTCTTGTTGTCCCCACTGAGCAGACAGAGCACCAGAGCACCAGAAAATGAAGGGAGAGGGAAGAAGTCTGGGCTAGGGTGGTTGAGGAACTCACTTTGGAGACGGCCTCAGATGAGCTGGAGGTGAGGCTAGGCACTATAGCCACTCCACTCTCCATGATGGCCCCATGGAAGAGTCTTTGGGACATGGGGGACAAAACATGTAAAGACACACTTGTGCCACCTGCAGACTGGCCAAAAATGGTGACACGGTCAGGGTTGCCTCCAAAGTGAAAGATATTCTGTTGCACCCAGTGTAAGGCGGCCACTTGGTCCAGGTAGCCCCAATTACCAGTGGCGTGCTGGTCTCCAGTGCTGAGAAGTGCAAAGATGGGGATCACAAGCCTGTTCTGGCTCTGTTCAGCCTTATTTCCCATCCCAGGCCCAGGCTTACCTAAAGAAGCCCAGGACACTCAGGCGATACTGGATAGTCACCACTACTATGTCCTCAAAGGCTGCCAGAATGGATCCATCATATTGGGAAGCCATGCCTATAACTAGTGCACCACCATGGATCCATACCATTACCTGGGGAAATCAAGACACATGTCATGTGGGTCACAGCCAGTCCAAACTCTGTTAGAGTGACTCCTGGACTCTCTACTGGTTTTACTTATTTGGCTACCAACCTAGTCTGAAGAACCCCAACAGATGCCATGATCTGGGCTATGAGTGAAGAACTGAGGTTGGATCAGGAAGTTAAAGCCTGTCAACATTTGGAATCAGTTGCATATTTCATAGCCTCACTGTATTACTCCTAGAGTCCCTCGAGGGGGAGTGGAAAGAAAAGGGATGTTCCCTGGAATCTCACATGTACAGTAATCAAGTGCCCTCCATTTTTATTCACCCAGCAGATAATTAATGGTTGGGGTCTTTGGTGGCCACAAAGCGTAGCTCTTAGTCATAAAATGTATTTTTTAGACACAGTTTAGTTGAGTGAATCTTGGGCCCATTATAGTCTCTGACCTTGGAACAGCTAGGCCTCTGTGTTTCCATGCCCAGCTACCTGATTTGGGTGAAAAAGTCTTCAGGAACCTGATAGTGAGAGGCTTCTCCTTAGGTCTATACTGCATCATAAATGAGGTGGATCTTGATCCTTTTAACAATCTTGTAGAATAAATGCCACCCTACTCCTGACTGACCCACATCCTGTTACTCACAGGTAGGTTAGAGCCCTCACGGGCATGAGCAGGTGTGTAGATATTGAGGTACAGGCAGTCCTCAGACATGGGAATGGGAGGCTTGGTCAGATTCAAGATTTCCACTACCAACAAATTCATTCTCTCAGGATTTTGTAGACACCTGGTAACAATGACAACAGTAACTCCATGGGTCAGTTCAATGATCAAAACCAGACCCTGAATCCAGATTTGCTTCCAGCCACTCTCGGCCCCAACTTTCCCTTATTCTCTGCCCACATATGACCCTTCTCTTAAGTCTCTGGTCACCGAGACACAGGCTGCAGGGAAGGGATCCCAGACTTCCTGGGAGGTCTTAAAGTTGCTGAGGACCTTGAATCCCACTTCTGAAGGTGGAAAATTGTTACTCTCAGGAGTCTCTATGGGAAACAATACCTACAGGTGTTGGCAGTTATCATTTGTCCCCTAGCCCATTTAGATGTGGCACACAGGCCGAACTTCCACACAGATGGTGCAGGCATGAATAATGGAGGTTAGTTTCATAATAGGGAGCTGTACATTCATGCTGAGTCTAGAATCTTCAGAGGCCTCATCTCTATCACAGCCCCTTAGCCTCCTTGGGTGTCAAAGTAGCCATCACAGGTTCCCTCCTGTGGCATCTGTAGGATCTGCTGCTGGATTCTGGGTATCTTACAAGTTTATGGAGCCAACCTGACTCTCTCCCAGAAACACTTCCTCTGATTGCAGAGAATGCATGGCATAACCTGAATCTGGGGATAAATGTGTCCTGCTCCTCTCTTTAGCATCTGGAGCTAATGTCCTCTGGGTGACAAGCCCTTAGCCAGGTGCCTGTCATATTTCATGCTTCTTGATTCTCAATACTCTCATTGTGGGAATACTCCTAAAGCAGAAGAAAACTGGCTATAGGATTTAGACGGCAGAACCATTTCAGCGTGGCCTAAGCTCAGTGCACCTGACTCCTCCCTAGGGCCTGAATTTCCCCAGTTCCCCAAAGAGCTTACATGGCAGGGTAGGAGGTTCCATCTCTCACACCGGTCCAGGGCTCAGGGGCCTCAGGAGGTGCAAACCGCAGTGGTCCTACAGGTGGCTTTGCAAAGGGAATTCCCAGGAAGGTGTGGACTCCCGTGTCAGTGCCCTTCACATGGACAAGGCTACCCCGCACCTGCCCAGTGAGCGTGGTCCGAATAGGGCTGGCTGAGTCCTGGGCTGTGGGCAGAGAGATGCACATTGGGGTTGGGTCTGCCCCGTCAGCTGCCTCCCACACTGTGGATATTGATACCTCCTTGCCATCCTCAATCGACCTTGTCAAGTGAACCTGATTTGAAAACACTTCTTTACACTCTTCCTACCTTGTCATTCTATTCTCACCATGCTTATGGCTCATGAATTAGTTTTCTTCCATGTCAGTGAGTCCTGTATTACCATATTCAATCTATCCAGCAGATTGAAAATATTCAGAGAAAAACTTGATTCTGTATTGACCACATGCAGATTTTTCATGTCATCATCTCCTAAATAATATAATGTAAAAGTTATTTACATAGAATCAGCCACTATAAGTAATCTAGTGTTTTTTCCAAGTATATATACTTAGGTTATGTGCAAATGTTAGGGCATTTTATATAAGGGATGAGAGCATATACAGATTTGGATATAGGTTGGTGACTCCTGGTTCTAAAATCCCATGGATATCAAGAAATAATTGTGTTCTAGCTGAATATGTGTCCAAGCTAACTTCCCTTCTCTTTTCTTGCCTTCCTGTCTTCTCTGTTTCTCTGGCTTTTTCAGATAGAGTCTCACTAAATTGTCCAGGCTGGCCCCAAACTCAAGATCCTTCTGTCCAAGCCTCCTGAGTACTAGGATTAAAAACACAAGCAACCACAGTTAGGTAAAATACTATTTTTAAAGATAGGCATCAACAAGGTCTGCCAGAGTTTTTTTTTTTTTTTAATCTAGAAACTCCTGGTCCCCTCCAAGAGCTGGAGGGAATGGCAAGTAAAGGGCAAAGTCCCTCAGGGTTGGGCTATGAGGGTGAGGTGAACGCAGACTCTTTTTGAGATTAGATTGAGAAAAAGCCACCACGATAGCATACTAGGAATCTTATCAGTCAGTGCATGTTCAGGTTTGGTGCTTACCTGGCCCAAATTTCTGATAAGGACCTGGGGACTGCCTAACTGGCACAAAGTGTGGCACCTTTGCCCTGGAAGCCAAACATGTCTTTCTCCCAAAAAAGGTACACAAGGTGAAGGGAACCTGGTGACTTCTCTGTTCAGTTTTAGGATGTGATACTGTGAGCTTCTCTCTCTCCCAGACCAATAACTTTGTCTGGTTTCCCTTTGGGCAGTGGAAGGGTGCCCTGTAGTCAAGAGGACGACACACTCACAAACAAAGGACAATGTGGAGGTATTATTGTTAATAGCAGTAGGAAGTTCTAACCCCAGTCACAAACACAGGAGGCAAAGCTTCCATATGCTTCCCAACCTGCCCAGGCTGTTGACTTGCCCATTGGTCCACAAATCTCACAGTTCTTATTCAGTTGTGTGCTGAGGTATGACCGGGGTGCTGAGGGTCTGGCAGCTCTGACCCCTGGGACTTCAGGAGCCCAGCACAGTGCCTGGCTCAGGATGGTGAGTGGGCTTACATTTCCTACACTGTCATCTGTCCTGTCTACCAGCTCCTTCCTGCTCAGTGCTTCCCTCCCTCAGTTTCAGGTCCTGCTTCCAGGCAGTATTCCAGATGTAACCCTAGTCCCTTTGTCTCCTGGAGGTACCTTACCTTGAACGAGGACAAGGAGAAGGAGCCCACAGACAACTGTGTTCAGGCACACGTGAAATCTGTCCGGTCGCATGGTTGGCTTGCAAGTCTGTTTTTCTACTGACAGGCAGTTGTGGAGCAGGGCCTCATCCCTGTAGGAGTTTGGACCCAGTAGGAAGTAGGCGGGGCACTGTGGGCTGGGCAAAGCATGTCCGCCAGACAGCTGCATGCAGCAGGGAGAGGTCACTGGAAGCCAAGGACCATGGATAAGGCAGGGTCGCCTCCCCACTGCCCTGATCCTCTTCATCCTTTTCCCAATGCACTTCCTAATTTTTTTTTTTTTTTTTTTTTTACCGGTACCTGGGATCGAAGGCAGGTGCTTATGCCACTGAGCTAAATGCCCAGCCCCTGCACTTCCTAATTTCATCACCTTCTTTCTTTTCCCCCTCAGGAAAGAATGCACCAAACACACTCACTTGTGTTTTGTTTATTTGTTTTTGGTGGTACTGTATTGAACCTCGGGCCTTCACACTGAATTTCACCATAACTTCTTTTCCAAATTTTCTATTTTGAGACAAGTTCTTGCTAAACTACTAAAACACCCAGTCTGAGCCTGAATTTGTGATCTTACTTCAGCTTCCTAGAATCCTGCAGTCAGAGGCAAGAACCACCAGCCTAGCTTTCTTTTTAAAGCAAACATTGTGTTTCTGAGGGAGCTGTGGCTGTGGTGCAGGGATTTGTGTTTCATTCATCTTTTTCCTGACTCACTGCTGTTTACTTTTGCAGAGGAACCAGTCGTTCAGGAGGCCACTCCACAGCCATGACTTTTAAAAGATATCAGAAAGACAGCTATTTGCCTAATTAGAATTACCTCAGCAGCCCTAAGTAAAATCCCTGGAGAAGGTGTGTTCTGACTTGGTCACAGGTACAAAGAAAAGAATCTTAAAGTGAAAGGGCCTGTTCACATACCTACTAAGACTTTGAGAATCACTACGCGGAAAACACCTTGTGGTGAAGATTCTTGGGTTTTTTTTTTTTTTTTTGGGTACTGGGGATTGAACTCATGACCTTGTGCTTGGCAGGTGAGCACTTATGCTGCTGAGCTAAATAAGATTAAGATAAAAGAAGCAAAGCAACACAGGTCAGAACAGAACAATTTAAGCAACATAGTGTTTCACCACAAGACAACCCGACATAACAGTAGCTACTATAGTGTTTCTTTCCTTGAAATATTTGAGTGTACCTTCATATACTATAGTATCAAACATAACAAGACAGTGTAAAACCATTCAAGAGAGTGAGAGTATTACAGGGTATTCAGAACCAACTAACAGAAAATGAACAATGGTTACTATATTATCTCCTTGTCCATAAAAATTTGTTTATACTATCACATATAATAAAATCCAATAAGATACAACATGATAAACCGATGGAGACAGAAGAACAAAAACTTGGTGGGACTTCAAAACAGGATGATATTAAATCATCACTAGCTATTATAATGTCTGTTTTCTTCAAAATAGCTATTTATACCATCATAAACAATAAAATCAAACAACCCAGAATAAAACCATTCCAATTAATGGATGAAAACATTATAAGGCTTCAAAGCAATATAATGGGGAATCATGATTACCACACACTTTTATGTATTCTTACCATTTCTTACACTAGGAAAACTATTTGGTATTTATATATGTGAGTTTGATTTATTTCGCTTATGAATATGTTCTCAAACTGCATCCATTTATTTATAAATATCTCAGTGTGATCATTCTTTATAGCTGAGTAGTACTCCATTGTATAAAAATACCACAACTTTTTATCCATTCCTCAGTTGATGGACACTTAGGATGTTTTCAAGATCTGGCTATTACAAATTGTGCTGCTATAAACATGGGTGTACCTATATCACTGTGGTATGATGTTTTCAGTTCTTCTGGGAATATGCCTAGAAGTGGAATAGCTGGAACAAATGGGACTTCCAATCCCAGCTTTTTGAGAAACCTCCAGACTGACATCCATAATGGTTGCACCTGTCTACACTCGCACCAACAATGCAGGATAGTTCCTTTTTCCTAACAACCTCTCCAGCATTTGTTGTTGGTAGTTTTCTTGATCCTGGCCATTCTTTCTGGAATGAGATGGAATCTCAGTGTGGTTTTAATTTGCATTTCCCTAATGAGTAATGATGATGAACATTTTTTCATGCATTTATTTGCCATTTGTATTTCTTCACCTGAGAATTATGTATTCATCTCAGATGCCCATTTTTGGATTGGATCTTTGAATTTTGGGGGTCTCATTTTTTTAATTCTTTATATCTCCAGATGACAACTCATAGGCAACTCATTGACTTGCACCATCCTGAGTTGTTAAAAGGATTACTTCCATCAATATTGAGACAGGAGGGGAGGTTGAAGTCACCGTTTGTAAATGCTTAAGGCAACTATTTTACTAAATTAATTAGTAGTAGTTAAAAAAAGTAAAAGATACAGTTTACCAACTTGTCTTAAGTTAGGCTTAACATTATATATTTGAAAAGTAGCCAAAATTTTACTAAGTGGCTAGCATCCATGCACAAATAGAAAACATCATTAAATTTATTAAACTACAAATAGAGTATCATTAGTGCATTTCATTACTAAATACTGAAAAAAAATTAAAATGATTTCTGTGGAAGACTCATCCTGGCAAGGTTAGCTTCAGAGCAGGCTCATAGTACTTGGCTCCCATTTCAAACACAATGGAACGCAGATTCATGCTGGCGTTAGAGTACAATCTTGTCCTTGTGCTACTCAAGAGTGAAGGTTCACCTGGGATTACATTTAATAAAAAAGCAAAGTATGTGCAAAGATTACAACAACTTTAAAGACAAAATTGGCCTTACTCTGTGGTCCCAATAATAAACTCAAAAGTTTATGTCAAATAGGGGCTCCAATGAGCTGTGTATGAATGTTTTATGTACAGTTATACTGAAAGTTGCCTTTATTTGAAATTTTCAAAATTATTTCCTGTTAATCCTTAACTGGTGCCTGTTATAGTTTAATATTTCTGTTAAATTTGTTCTCAGTGGAAGTGTGCTCAGTGTGCCTAAAAAAACCAAAACCAAACCAAGCAAACCAAAACAACAAAAAACTGACCTCTGCCCAGTGCAAAGTCCCTTAGCCCAGGTTTAATATTATCCTCGTCTGCTGCCTGGTGTCCACGGTGGGCAATGGGAGAATATTCATCATTTAACCCGAGGGTCTAGAGTCTCCCCTAGTTAAGATAAATGCCATGGAGGAAAGAAGGGGGATGCTCTCTCTGGAAGAACTGGTGCCCCAGAAGAACAAGCTGGTCAGAGTTACGGGAATGGGAGAAGTCTCAGGGTTAATGGGATGAATGATACCATCTCTGAATGACAGAAAACAAGGAAGTAGGTTGAGTGCACGTTGACACCTTTGCACAATATGATAAAATACATGAGAGAGGCCAAAAAATGTTTAGAGGCAACAGTGAGATGAAAAGGAAAATGAATCACCTGGATGCCCATGGTGAATAGGGGATGGGCAGGAGACCAGGAGGTTATGAAGGGAATTCTAGCTGGAGGACACCTCCTTGGAAGAAAAAATCCTTGAGGAGCTAGGGCACAGGAATTTCTTCTGCTCGACATGCCTGGATCTTCTTTACTTCCAAGTCTCACTTCTAGGACACTCCCCAGAGACAAAACCCTTCACAAATGTGCCCTGATTGTGCAATCATAGGCCTCAAAGCATTTGAAGGCCACAAGAAAATGAGAGAACTTCAGGAGACCCACCACTGAAGAGACTGTGAAACTGGCCTCCTAGACATATTCCTGTTGGCCCAGATTCCAGGGACCAGGGCCCAAACTCACTCTTGATTCTTACAAAATGGGATCATTTACCTTCCTGGGACACAAAGAAATGAGTGGGTGGATCATGGTATGTGAATGAAAAGTGACATTTAATCTTCAAGGAACAAAGGCTTTTATTAGTTGTAGCCTCACTGACTAAGACCTGGGAACATTAAGAATGGTGGTGTGAAGGTTTACAGTCTCCATGTCACATATAGAAACCAAGTCTCCAGTGTGACCCTGTTAAGGAGAGAAGCTTTTGGAAGGAGAAGGGGATTGGTACCCATATAAAGGAGGCCAATGGGAGCTTGATCATCCCTTCCTTCATATAATGAAATAGTAACAAGGGGTCATAGAAGAGCTCAGTCAAACTCTCACAAGACCTCAGATTTCCTGGCTACATTTTGGATTTTTCAGCTTCCAAACAGACTAAGACACTATAGGGTTTTCAGCATCCCAAACAGACTAAGACACTGGGGTTTCTGATGAGCAAATATCTCTTGGCTCCTTACAGACCCATGAACATGGGTTCTTTCTGAGAAGCAAATGTGGGATTCTGACACCCATGTGTTGCAATGCTTGCCAAAGCACAATTTGCAAAGTGGGGAGACCGTGGGGCTAGGAGAAATGGAGAGAGGGTGGGCAGAGGTAGGTGAAGAGGTGATGAGGGGTCTAAGCCAGTGGTGTCCATTAAGACTCACTTATCCACAGCTCCTTGGGGATGTGGTGTGTTTCATAAGAGAGGACCTATTGCAAGATTTGCAAAAAACATTTGCAGTGGGTTCTTTGTAGGCTAGTGGGCTGGAGGAAGAGTAGATGAATGATCGTACAACCATGGAGTCAAGCCGGGTTCCTCAGTGAGCATGGCACATTCCAGGAAGAGATCACTTTCACTCATTCCCATCTTCCCTCCCCACACACGGAGCTACAGCTCTGTGTGCTTCTCCTCATATCTCTTTAGTTCCTGAATCTTTTGGGGCAGAATCTCTGTCCAGAACTTCAGCCTGGAGGCCTTCAGGGCACGGTCCACAGTAGGCTGGACATCCAACTGAGGTATAGCTCTTCGTGGTCCAACACAGGCCAGTGGGGCAGCCCTCACCATTGGAGTTCCTATGGATATACCCTCCCAGGGGAGCAAAAGGGAGGCTACGCTGAGCTCTGCAGAACCCAGACCTTAGAGGCCTGATTTGAACTAGGCCAGATAGCTGGTAGTGGAGGAAAATAGTGTTTCTGGGTGATGTGGAGGAGGTTTGTTTTTTGAGGTAGGAAAGAAAGGACCTTCTACCAATGCCCCCTCTATGTGGAATAGGGCAGCTTGGTTTCTTTTGTCTCCCTTTCTCAGAGGCAGGCTGTGACTGGGTGATGAGACCT